GGGGGATATGGCCCTTTTTGCTAATGCATTATGTGTGTGTGTGCGTCACTGAATGAGATGAGATGCTGCATTTCCATCCGTCTTTTTCAAAACAGTATTTTAAGTTTTAGTAAGAGTTTTTCAGCACTTGCAACACAATTAGGTCAGATAAGTGCCGAAGATTAAAGGTGTTACTACAGATGGTAATATACACATTATAAAAGAAGGAGGAGACACAAGGATTATATATGGACGATATAATAACACGCTTAATAGGGAAGAAGGAGCAAACCACACAGAGCACCCGCCTACCACCCATTCTATCTCCTTTATCCAAGTAGTGTAACTGTGTCTAAATGCAGACCTCCTAGATTTCAATCCGCTTCTATTCTTCGTCATGGGGTATGCCCGATGTTGAGATTAGGATAACTGATCGATTGTTGCCAAAGTTTTAGATCTAATTCATTCATTCATTCATTCATTCATTCATTCATTCATTCATTCATTCATTCATTCATTCATTCAATTGTTCATTTATTCATTCATTCATTTAATCATTTAATCATTCATTCATTTATTAATTCATTTATTCATCCATTCTTTCTTTCTTTGATTCATTCGTTCATACTGTTTATCAATTCTTTAGTTCATGATTTTTACGATTGGTAACTAATACCTTTATACAATTTTGCATATTCATAATATGTACTCAACTGTATGGATGCCATTCGTTATTTTATGCACTGGCTCAATTGTTTTCTTAGATGCCCACCCATCCCCCTCCTCCCATAAAAAGAAACAAACTAAGAAAAAAAAAACAGTTTAAAAATTAAACAACAAAAAATAGATAAATGATGATTCAAAAATTCCACAGATCGACAGCAGCAAATGGAACCAGGAAGATACAGACCTTAAAGCCAAGTATGGTCAACTGGTCTCGTCCTTTGTAAAGACAGGGTAAGAAAAACGTTATTTTGAGGATATTTTGGGCTTGTTTGTTCGTTTGTTTGTTTGTTTGTTTGTTTGTTCATTGAGGAGAATTATTGTTTAAATTGGAGTTGTTTCAATAATTTGTTTGTCGTCATGGGGTTTTTGGGTTGCTTTTTTTTTTAAATTAATTTTTATTCTCGTTAATCTTTGGCAATATTGTGTTTTGTGATGTTTTATCTGGTTGTTTATTTCAATTTAGCTTTTAATTCTTAGCTTTGTTCGCTTATCTGTAGTTGTTATGTGGTGGGGTGTTTGTTTCTTACTTTATTTTGGAAGGTGGGGGTGGTGGGTTATTTTTCGGGGAGTGTCGGGGGG